GCAGGTTTGGCGTTGCCCACGGGTTTCGTGGGCTCGGCAGGTTTGGCATTGCCCACAGGTTTTAGGGTTTCAGCAGGCTTGGCATTGCCCAAGGGTTTCAGGGACCCTAAAGGCTGGGCATTGCTCATGGCCTTGGGACTTTCTGCTGCTTTGGCATTCAAGGCCTCAGCGCTGTTGCTACCATTCTCCGCTGGTAATTTCTTCTTGCTGCCTAACACCGAGCGGAAATCTGGGGTGGCAGGTTTGGGAGGAGGTGCCTTCTCAGGCACCGGGGTCTTAGGAGTCCCCTTTTTGGCTAGGACCGAGCGGAAGTCGACCTGCTGAGGGCTGTGCACCTTCCTCTCTTCCTCTGACACGGTCTTCGGCTTCACCTGCCGCTGCAGGTTGGCGCGGAAATCCATCTGCTCAGCTGGGATCTCCTTGAGGTCTTCTTCTGAAACGGTCTTGGTACTCACCTTCTTCCCCAGGAGGTCACGGAAGTCCAGCTGTTCCACCTCCTGCTGGCGGATGGCCTCCTCGGTGTGCTGCCGAGTCTCCACGCGCCTCTTCAGCAGCCCCCGCACGTCCTCACCGTCTTCCTCCTCCGGCCAACCCTGCCCTCTCGCAGGCCAGCCGGGCCTCAGGGTCCCATAGCAGTCACGGCCACCACCATCAGCACCGGCTCCCGGGCTGCAGAGGCCCTCACAGCTGGCAGGCTCCCTCCCCCTGCAACCAGTGAAGGGAAAAAGGAAAGTAGCAAGAGGAAAAGGGGCCGGGTAAGAAAGAACGTCAGGGGAGAGCAAATCCCTGAGGGAGGGAGGGTAGAGGGGAGGGGGAAGGGGAGGTTGGGGCTGACCAGGCTGTGTTTATAGAAGGGAACATTGGTGAGAGGCTCTTGCTTGCTTACTTGGTTTGTTACATCGGTAATGACTTCAGTAGCCTTATAAGGGTGTGTGCAAAAAAAATAAAATAAAATAATAATTCACCCCCCTCTTCTCCCCTGCTCTCCCTCCCTCATTCCCCTTCCAATCTCTCCCTCTTGGCTCAGCAGCCTCTGCTGGAGGATACAAATAATCTGGGGCTGCTGGGCTGGGCCTGCAGGGGCCAAGAGGAAAGTGGAGGGGGTAGATGGCCTGGGGGCCTGGCCGGGCACCTCCTGGGGGCACTCACCACAGGGGGGCTCTGGTGGGGTTGCTCTGTAACATCAGTGACACCTGGCAACTGCATTCGCCAACCTGGTTCCTGAAGGATTTGAGAGATGGATACATATCAAAAGGCTCTGG